AACAAGCCAGCAAGACCAAGCTTAAACGACTATCAACGAGAATCCCAGAATCTGGCACTGTCTTTCAAGAGTAACCCTTCTGTCACAGATGTCCCAAGCTCAGTGGAGAATCAAAACCGCCAGCCACAATTTACAAGCATGCTCGGCGACCAGTACAGCAGGCTCGCCTCAAATGACAATCAGATTAATCCGCCCAAACCTGACCATGATTTGCTCCAAACATTTTACCCCAACGCACTTCAAGACCGCTTACATGAACCCGATTCCGTTGCTGTTGGAGAGCCGCTATACGTGCAAAAAGCGCACGTGCAATCAGCCACGAGTACGCAAAACAAAGTTTCCAGCCTCCTTAAAAATGCAATGAATAATTTCAACAAAGTTACAGCTAGCAAGCCTGCGAGACCAAGTACATTAAACGGAGCAGGCGTCAAACCGCAGCTCTACAATAAACCTGTTAAAAATCTTCATGCTAAGACCAGCCCAGTTGAAAGTATTGACGATCCACACGCCGATATGCGCGACCCCAGTGAATCCATCGATAATCAAACTCCACAAGAATCTGGTATTGACGACCAACCTGCTGACCAAGCCGTAAACAGTCTCTCGAACAAGCCAAGCAAAATGCCTCTAGCACAGAGCCCTGGAGAAGAGGTAAGACCAGTGAAACCGGTTTCAAACATAGACGGACTTGGAAAACCAGTTGTAACAGGAACTCCTAACTTCTTGAACCGGCCACAGAATACTTTAGCTCACAACTCTGCCACTCCAGCCGTTGCTGACAAAGTCAACGCTCGTCAGCCTACAATTAACCTGGATGTCCTCAAGAACAAAATTTTACACACCACCAATGCAACTTTCCTACGGCGCATGCTCGCGCTCATCCAAAAGATCACTCATCACAAGGACTTCCACAAGCTTCAAGCTCCTGCGCGAAGCTTCGTCGCTCAGGCAAACACCGCTGTCCAGGCGCTAAATAATGCGTACAACGAGAGAGTCTCGTCTTCACCGGTAACCATGGGGATAGATTATCCGCTGTCCAAGAAGTCCGCTGTACAGAGGTTTAACCAAGCCTACAACATCAACCAGAGAATCTCGGCCTCGCCAATAAACCTTGGAACTGTAAACCAGCTTTATGGAAATAACTACAAGAAGTCCACTGTCCAAGCCATGAATAACCAAGCATACAACGACAGGATATCTGCTACTTCACCGCTCAATATGGCGACTGGTAACCCGGTCTATGGAAATAACTATTCTGTATCCAAGAAATTCCAAATTGCAAGAAACCCGTATTACCAAAACTATTATCAATACAGACAACCTTACTACAGCAATTTGCAGAGTATGCAGTATGGCTTGTACAACGGCAATCAACCATAAGGAACGTGGTTTGAATCAGCTCGATTCACAGCTTAACTTTACAAGCCAAGGAGATGTCAGTTCTATGTTAAGGTTACTGCGTTAGTTCACATTCAAACAATCGATAACTTTTGCCCGTTGTCCTTGAGCTGGCGTAACGTAATTTCTCAGTGTTGTATGGAATCGTACGCTTATGTCATTGGGCTCCAAGGGGAAACTAGGCTTTAATGAGCCTGAACTGTAAAAAATGTTTGTCCAAATATGAAAGTAATATAAATCATTAGACTATTGTTTTGGGGTGTCCTCCAGATTAGTTTTATCCATCGCCAAAAAGAGTTTAGGAGACAAATTCCATGGGCTAACCGACTTGGAGTAAGGTTTCCATAAGACTTAGCTTACGTCATTAAAGGCAAACATGTTTTATTCACCACTGATAACCCTACGATTATAGTTCGCCATCACTTTCGATTTCTGCATCGACTAGCATTTTAAATCAGCCATGACAAAACTACATGACAAGGACTGTAAACACCCTAAGCATCTAGGAAGAAAATTTAATCATGGACATTGCCTCAGTCAGGATAAAAACTGAGCAAACGGGAATTTCTTTTGCATGGGACATTGGTTTACATTTCTGTACTGGTCTGCTGCTGACAGTCCTCAATACAAAACCGGTGTCTTTATTAGCACTAAAAGACATAAAAAGGTCAAAGAGTAAAATTAAATGCAACAATAAATTTCTATAGCCATATTCCATAAAGATCAGAAACAGATTTTAACAAAAATAGGGTATTTTATAGGAATTGTATGTGGTTAGAACTGAGCCAAATTAAAAAAATTCACCGAAGAGAACGCGAGAAAATTAGCATTTATTTGGTCACGCTGATGTCACAAAAATCAGAAAAACATGCGTGGTGTCACGCGTAGTTATTCATTTAGGCGCACGCTCATGTGACGCCATGTATCGCGTGCAAGAAAGCAAGAGTAAATTAGAGCTCTTTTACCGGTTATTTACAGAGCTTTTTTGTCGTATTTTTTTGGCCCTAGGCTTAAACACATGTTTGAACGGAGTATGAAACTATTGTTACTTATACCGAAGTGATTTAATGCCTTTCAAGTGCTGAAGTGATTTCGTTTCTTCTTAGGGTTACTTGCGTCATTTTTGTATGATCAAAATATCTTCGGATATTCTTCGGTCGTCTTCGGCAATCTTCGGTAATCTTCAGAAAATGTTCGGAAAATGCTCGGAAACGTTCGTCTGGCCTTACTTGCCATATAAATTGATATTTTGTTAATATATGTAACTATAAATGGCAAACGATAAAACAAACGCAAACAAGCCCGGCAAATCACCGGCGTCATCACATAAACCGCGCAAGGCAAATTTATATAACGTGCATTTGATAACTGGCAATTCCGGTTTTCTTTAAAATAGATCACCTATATTTGTTGATTACTCCACACTGAGTGAGAGAAATTTTGATTTTTTTTTTTTTTTTTTTTTTTTTTTTTTACTCACGTGAGAGCGAATTTCTCTATTTTGCGGCATTGCAAGACTTGCTAGAATCCTTTTCATATAACCCGGAAAATGACATCGGTTTCATATATTTACTTATCACAATAGGATCATTTAAAAACACCTGTCGCTCCTAGACAGTTACAGAAACAGCGTAGTTCTCCTCCGGTCCACGCATTTGATCTCCAAAACGAGCGCGGTGATCGAATGGTTGTTTTGAATTTCTAACATGCTGAACATGATCGCACCGCGGAGAAAGTTTTTAAATAATCTAAAAGTGAGCAGATTTCGTGCACGAACGTGACTTTTTGCACTTCATCGCTCTTAACCTGTTGTCATGTGATCCTGCTTGCCCTGGGACCTGATAACAGGCCAGGATTTCAGTGACAATGTTATAACCTGAGTGAGACAGGAGAAGGGACTGGAGATTTTCACACGTCCAGCGAAAAAGTTAGCTCAGTTTCAAAAGAATCCTCAACTAAATCGGTGAACGAGATGCACTTAACGCTGCGAAATAGGTGAGAGCGGTTGTTTTCTGCTAAGTTATCGAGAGATGAATAAGATCATCAATGGCGTCAGAGATTATAATAGAACAGACCACGAATGGCCCGCGAGAAGTGTCAAACATCGATGAAATCATCTCAACGGCCGAGACGGCGAGTTTGACTTTGAAGATCTTCCTTGATTACGCTTGGATTTCAGTTTTGTTTAAAATTACTGGGAATCTTTATTAAGCTTCTCTTAGTTACAAATATTAGCAAATTAGATTTGTGGAGGTGGCAGTCATGCTGTTGAAGTGGGCGGTGATTCTGTCTGTTTTCGTGGCTGCGAGTTTTGGAAGCGTTCTGCCAGGAAAGCGGTCGGATTTTTCAATGTACGACAATCAGTTTAGTAAGTGAGTTTCAATTTGTTATCTTGGGGTTTGATTGCATGATTCGACTCGGTGGAGTTTAAAAATGCAATGCTATGTTGCTTTCACTCAACAAACATTGAACAGACTTATCATGATAACCATTTCTATAGAGCGCTGAATAAAATAATGCCATGATAGTATTATGTGATGAAAATTAAGATACGCACGGTTCAAACCGACGTACGACGTACGGTGCCGTAAAATCTAGCAATAAGGTTTTTTGTAAAACTGATCTCGTTATGGGAGTAACTGAAACATGCAAGTACACCAATTTTTCTAAAAGGGAGAATTTTTTTGCAGGTCGAGTTGGAGACACAGAACTGGATGACGAGATCACAGATTGCGCGCTTGTAGAGCACCAGTACAGAAAAGGATACATCAGATTGAGAGAATACCTCGAGCGGAAAAGAGGTTGTGGAAGACGAGGTAACTTATAGGGCAAAGAATAAAATGTCTAAATGGCGGGAAAATGTATGTCAACACGGGATAACGACGATGTTTTGGTACCTGCAGCAGGTTCAGGTGTTTTTAAGATCGATACACTTTGAATCTCTCCTTGCAACCTCAGTGACACATGGTAACTGGTATAAACAGGACAAGAACAAACAAAATTATAATTTTTTTAGGAGAAATAATTCTCGATCTAAGAAGTAAATTTGAAATAAATATGCAGCAATTAGCAAGAGATGCCAAATCAATTCATTATTATTGTTATTATTTTTTGATTTAATTTCCTACTCTCTAATTGCAATAAATTAGCCCAGGCTATGTATTTGTTGTTATTATTTTGTAGCAACGATCGAAAATGATCTCCAAAACGTTTGAGGACAACTTCTAGAGCCCACTATACATTTGATCATCAATAACAATTCTGGCCAAAACGAATATGGAATCTGAGGACGACTTAACCGTGCGATCAGACGTTCTTTTATCTGGGTGAGAGCGTCTTCGATAGCCATGTGGATAGCCCAGGACGGTCAAAAACGGCATGTTCGTGACGACCGTCACGGGTGCCTGACAGGGACGCTTTTTTACAAACAGAACAAAAGTCTGTATACGAACCAAGTGGCCCATCAGGCCGGAGCTTATCCCGGTTTCCGTAGCATGAAGCGACTAGGAGTATTTCTACTCCCCCCTGGATGGGATGCTAG